TTTAGATCATCATTTAGTGAATATGCTGCCAATGGCACCACCTACGCTCCAATAATTATTCAAAGAACAAACATAGAGTATTGGTTAGAACTAAAATGCCTTGCTTATAATGTCATATCACACAGCCGACGTAGTAACAGTAAGAAGCATGATCCATGTAATTTTTGTTGAAACAGGATAGTTCAAGCACAATATAATTTATTTAATAACATAACAATATCTATGGGAATGTGCTTAACGAAAACCACACAAACAATTAGGAGAAAACCACACAAACAATTAGGACATATTTTATATGCAATTTATCAAACTTCCAGTGCTCTATTTTTTTTTCCTAAGCTCAAATTAAGTTGAAAACAAAGCTGCAAATATTATACTCATTTGCAGTTAGTATTGACATGGCCAACTAACTGTGTCTTAAACAAATAAAATAGAGTTCATGAAACATAACTCTAAGAAGGAGATGGAAGAAAAAAAATTAATACCGGGAGGATATCCAGCCGGGCACGGTGAGGTGCTTAAGTGAGAAGAGCCTTCAATCGTGAATCAAAAGTATGGCCTGCATTGCAGTAAGTAGTTTTGTGATCAATTAAAAATATAAGTAGCAGCTCACAGCACTAAAGGAGTCATAGTTCAAAAATCCATAATGAAACAAAAGAAAGGGGAAATAAGCAAACTGACCAATACAGCAACTAATCCATGGATGCAGGACACCAGGTCCTTGAACAATTCTGGCGATCTCGAACGAAGCATTAAGAACAGATGCCACCCACTCAGGAGTATTAGTCGATGATTCAGGCTCCTGCTCAGTAGTTATACCTGAGAACTGTTCATTATATGCTTTGCGATAGAACCTGAGAAGAGTTATCATACCATATGAAATTATGAACCAATAGACAAACCTAACTGTTACGGATAATATATCACTATAGCTGTAATTAGTAATACACCGTTAGAAATTATGAGCATCACATATCGACGAGACAAAATTACCAACAATTTTGCTATTATTAAACTGAGCGAAAGGTTTATGGCAACATTACCTACTTGCCTCTGCCAGTAGATTTACCAAACTATCCAATTGCTTATGCTGGATTAGCAAGTTAGTTCCTCCCTAAACCCTCCATCACTACAGAGCAAATCAACAAAACCAAGACCAACAGTAGGGATGGATCCAGTAAAAGGACACGGTGGACATATGCACACTTGATAACTTTTGTACAAAATCGAATTTGGTAGGCTTGATATTAGATCAGATCTGAGTACACCAAATATAGCTTAAGTTAGGGTTTGGGTCCTCGGCTTCGCACAGAAAGGAGAGCAGGGAAGGGGTGGGCGTACCTATTGGTGCTCGTCGCCGACGAAGGGTCCGGCGAAGACTTGGCGAAGGGCCCGATGAAAACCTGGGCACCTGGCGTAGGTCTACCGCGATGGTCTGCGGTCGCCACGAGAGAGAGAGAGAGTGCGCACGGGCCCTGCGCCCTGGTGGCCGGCGGCGGGCGGCCTCGCGTCCTTGGCCGACGCTCTCGCCTGGTGGGCTGGTGCCTCATCCGTGGGGAAGAGATGGAGGAGTCGTCGCACGCGTGGGAGGGGAGGCGTCGGGGGAGTGGGAGAGTCGAGCACGGGGTGGGAGGCATTAGGGGTGAGGGGGATGCAGATTTTTTTTTCCGCATGGACGGTAGACGGACTCTCTAAATATCGCAAGGGACGGCCTCGCGTGGGAGCGAGGATGCGGGAACGCAGCAGGCATGACGATGGATCCATGTTGGAATGTCATATTAAAAAATGCCCACGCTTTGTTTTTTTAGTTGTAGGAGAAAAGTTTCTTTAGGACGTAAAAAAGACCTAGTTGAAAAAACCACGATTCCCCTTCTCGTTTCGACATCACACATTTATGAATTCTTCTCGTTTCGACATCACACATTTCTGAATTCACTCTCTGCCAAGGGGGCAAAAGGGTAAAGTTCTCCGACCACCGAGCAAACCCCAGCACAGCAGGCCCAGTGCCCAGCCTCCGTTCCTCTCCATCCCCTTCTCTCGCCTCGGCTCCCCTCCTCTTGAGATCTCCAAGGGTACGAGCGCATTCGCATCGCTTCGCCTCCGCCGCTCGCGATTTCGGCCACCCCCGCCGCCGCCAGGGGAGATGGCAGGTCTGGGAAAGGCCATGTACGCGGTGGGGTTCTGGATCCGGGAGACCGGCCAGGCCCTCGACCGCCTCGGCTGCCGCCTGCAGGGCAAGTACTTCTTCCACGAGCAGAGTAAGTGACGCCGCCCCTCCGGCACACCCCGTCCTCCTCTAAAAACACCCTCCCGTGTCCATCGATTAGCGGAGCACTGCGGGCGCAGAGGGGATTCGTCTGTCCTGAGCGGCAGAAAGGAGTGAGCGAATGGGGATTGCTGGATAGGGTTAGGAGCGGTTAGGGAAATGTTGGGTTTTTGCGTCGGGCACGTAAATCCCCTATCTAGGAAGGATAGGCTGGTTCACTCGAGATTGTCCACAGTCTTGCTCGTGTTAAATGTACAAGAACTGATAAGATTGATAGGTTGAGTAGGTCAACGATACCTGTATGAATTGTAGATCATTCTTTGGTAGCATCTGGTTTTACAAGGTGGTGCGAATTTTGTAGGACTAGAAGTTTCCCAGATGTCAAATTGCTGCGTTGATCATTTCAATGAGGATTAAGTCCACTTTTGACCCCTCAACTATTGTGTCGGTCTAATTTTAACCCTCAACTACAAAACCGTAGTACCGGTACCCCAACTGTCAAAACCGTTCACTTTTAGTAGCACCTAGGCGGGGGCAAGGCTGTTTTGACCGACGGTGAGTGGTTTTGACACGCAACCTCCATCTCAGTGACATGTGGGGCCCACGCGTCATCGACTCAATCCCTCCCTCCATCCTCACGGCCACGGCCTCGCGCTCCTGGACGCCGACGCGAGGAAAAGGTAGCCCAACAGCCGATCAAGGCAAAGACACACGCTGCAGTCGCGAAGCGGCCGTGTCACCCGGCCACATGGCGCCTCCACGCACCGTCCGCATGCTCGAGCGTGGTGCGGCGCCGTCGAGCCTCCTCCTCCTCCGCCCACGACCTCGCGCTCGACGAGCCGCGGCGAGGAAAAGCGGCGATGGCGCCGAGCCGCAAGACACGCTGCGGTCCGTGGCGAAGCCATGCCACCCGGCCTTCGCCGCGCCTCCACAACCTTGTCCGCCTTTCGGCTGTGTGGTGCGGCGCCGGCGAGCCTCCTCCTCCGCCCCTGACCTCAAGGCTCTCTGACGCTGCCTCTGCCGCTTCCGGCGACTTCTTGTTAGCCGCCGCGCGCGGCAGCTGCCTCCACGACGCCGACGCCGACCAGGTCCTCAACGGCTCGCTTTCGTGCTTTCGGACGCCAGACGCGCAGACGTTTTGGAGTCGGCTGCTTTCGCGGCGAAGCGTAGCGTGGCGGACGCGCAGCCGGGCGCCCGACGCGGGGGCAACACGGTGGTCGCTGCGTGCTACGCTGCAAGCCAAAGCGGACCGAGGAGTCTGCATCGCCTGCGTGGCGCGATGCGGCACGCCTTGACCTCGAGGCGCGCGGCGCCCAGCTCAGCAGACGCCGCAGACACTGAAGTGGTCGGCGCGGTCGCGGTCTTCTCCAGGTGCGCGGCCTTGTCGCCGAACGTGTCGGCCATGGTACAAACGGCGTCTTCGGCTTCACACAGGCATGGCCGGTTGCCGGCGAGCCATGGCCGTGAGGATGGAGAGGGTGGGATTGAGTCGATGACGTGTGGGCCCCACATGCCACTGAGATGGAGGTTGCATGTCAAAACCGCTCAACGTCGGTCAAAACAGCCTTGCCCCCGCCCAGGTGCTAAAAGTGAATGGTTTTGACAGTTGGGGTACCGGTACTAGAAGGTTTTGTAGTTGAGGGTTAAAATTAGACCGACACAATAGTTGGGGGGCCAAAAGTGGACTTAATCCTTTCAATGATGGTATTAAGTTGAGTATCTATAGTACTATCCCTCGTCTTACCAGACAAGTTTGAAATCGGACAGCAAGTCCTCTCTCTAAAATGTGAATGTAGTACTGTTACTCCCTCTATGTACTGTGGGGCTTTATTGGGTCTTGTGAAAGTCTGCCTGTGTCAGAGAATGTGAATTGACCTGATTGTCTCCATTTAGACCTGTTTCTATGTAAGTAGATGTAGATCTGCTTCAGTGACAGCATGAGAATGTTTATTTCATGAGTTGCTGGGACCTTAATCATAGATTTTCAAGAATACTCATCTCAACCTTATACTTTTGGGAATCATTCAAGTGCAATTAAACTTCTTTAGGTTCTGCTTGTTTTCTGTTTTCTCCTTATTTTCTACCTAATCTTGTATGTGCATGTTAGCTTCTTTGCACAGGAAAGTATATTGTTGAACCAGATGATTTTGAGCAGTCAGCCATCCAGCTGGACCCTTGGAACCTCCCTTCATCTATAACTGTTGTAGAACCTCTGATTTGAATCTAGGATGTTAGGGGTGGAGCGATGCACATCCTCACCCCAGTAACCATGGAGCATGGTTGTCTTATTTCCTTCATAGGACATTCATGCACAAAAATTTGAAGTCATGCATTTTACCGCCTTTTTCTAAATGTCATTTTTTGACGAAGATGGCCCAACCGCTGAACCAATGAACTAGGAGACTAGGACGCTTACCAGTTCATGACAATTCTGGCTCTAATAAGTAATAACAAAGTTCAAAAAGGCGTTACTAGGCGCTCGCCTAGGCGCGCTTACGCGCTGGGCGGAGCGGTGCCGCCTCGCCTATGGGGGTAGGCGGAGGGATAGGCGATGTCCCTCCAGATCCAGAGCCGCACTGCATGAGGGAGGGTGCCATGCCGCTAGATTCGTTGTCGCGCGGTCTCCTTGTCCTCCCTCCACCTTTGGTCCTGTCCTCGCCCTAACCGCGCGGCACGGCAGCGATGACCCTGGATGAGAGCTGCTCGAGTGTCCCAAGGAGGCCCGTGGAGGGACATGGCGGCGGGAGCGCCTCCACCTCCACCGCCGAGGAGGAAAAGAGGCTCCAGAGGAGGCGGGAGCGCGGCGGAGGCAGCTCATCAGGCGACGGGGAGCGGCTCGAGCACGGCGGTGTGGCTGTGGGAGACGGAGGGAAGGGAAAGGAGAGCCCACGAGAGACAGAGAGAGATGTGCTCAGGAGTCAGGATGGCTTACAAGATAAGGATGATAGGGCGGTTTTATGATTTGGTCCCTTACTTTTGTAAGAACTCCTAGTAACTTCCTTACTCTGATTCTCTTAACTGATTTCTTACATTCTGCCCCATAGAAGTACTATTTTCTCACAAGAAACTATTAGATATACTTTTATTTGTCATTTCTCCTCTCATAACCTCCTCGCTGGTACTGTAGCAACAATAATTACACACACATGTTAGTGTTTAATTCATAGTTAGTCACTTACATATACATAGTATATAGATTTGTATATAGTTAGTCTCTTATTTCTTCTTTTACTTAAGGTAATTTAGGGTAATATATATGTATGTGTATAAAAATTAAAACGCCTAGGCTCTAGGTTATGGGTCAGCGCCTAGGTTCTAGGCTAGCGCTTCTTGAACTTTGAGTAATAACTAGCATTTTTTTTTTGTGCGCGCGCGCGTGTGTGTGTGGTGGTGGTGGGGGGGCGCTTGTTGAGGAAACTGAAAGTGCAAGAACTGTTTCTCATCGCATACTTCTGTCCTCTACCTATCTTAGAACTAGCTACTCTCATGGGGTGCTTCATGCTGCAGATTTGTGGTGCATTGGGCTGTGCAATATATAGTTTTAATATATATTGAATGTTGATAACATGGTTACACTATCTATAATGAAATCATGCAGCAAGAACTCTTTGTGGAAAGGGAATCTCATGATTCAATGGGTTTTGCAATCGATATATCTGCAGTATGGATATTGATACTCCCACTTGTAAGCATTTAATAATTGTTCTACCATGTGTCTTACATTGTAGAAAATCAGGAAGAATGCTTGCAAGCAGGATAATGTGTTATTTATCCTTCTGGTTTTAAATTTTTGCATCCACCAAGTCAATAATTCAGATAAATTTGGTTCCCATGGCCCAACTGGAATACTGGATCATGTGAAGAAAACCCTGTCACCTGCCATATGATGCCTTCTAGTGCTGTCTTTTCTTTTTCTTTTGGTCCATGTTTTCTGATATTTTTTTAAGTCCATGGTCCCTTCCTTCTGCCTTCAGAATTAGAATATATATGCTCTCTTTTGGTTTTGCTTTTATTTCATGATTCTGTCTCCATAAGTAAGACTATCATTATTTGTTTCATTCTACAAGCATCATATGATTATTATATTGTTGTCACCCGATGCACAAATATTACTTAAGCAAACGCTAACATGACTGCCCTTTGGACCATTTCAGTTTCAAGGCATCGCACCATCATGAATATTTTTGACAAAACCCCTCATGTTCATAAAGACGCATTTGTTGCTCCAAGTGCATCCCTTATTGGTGATGTTCAAGTTGGGCCAGGAGCTTCCATTTGGTATGGGTGTGTCTTAAGAGGTTTGTGGTTCCTGTCCTAATGAGCATCATTTTGATTGTTTTACACAAAAAGAAAAGAAGAGCTAATTGGTGGATGGTGGGTACTTCTATAATGTGTGTATCTCCATATTGTACCCATCCACTCATATACAACGTTCCACCCTAGCGAAAAAGCTGTGTCATCGTATATTTCCGGACAACTTTTGGTGACAAAAAATCTGTTATTTTCGGTAACTGTGATATTGATGAATATGCAATGTTGATGTTGGATAGTAATTTTTGTTGCATTCAGTGGGATTTGCTTCTAATTCAACAGTTTGGCCATATGCATATGCTCTTTAATCTTGTGTTTTATCTTAATATAATAGGGCTGGTTCAGAGGTAGGCATATGTCAGTAGTTCTGTGGTACACACTACACAGACCCACTGTTCTTGTTTTGTGCAAAAAGAAGAGATTTGAAAACACAACCAATTCGTGGATAAGAGGAAAGAAGACCTTTATGGACTGTTTACTACAGAATACTCCCTCCGTTCAAAATTGTAGGCCACTTTAGCTTTGCCCTAAGTTAAACTTATCTAACGTTGACTAAGTTTATATCGAAAAATGCACCACCATCTACAACATCAAATTAGTTTCATTAAAATTTAAAATAGTGCACATATTTGAACTTGTAGATAAGCTAAAGTGTACTATAATTTGGAACAGAGGGAGTAGCTAATTTGCAGAGTAGAGATCTAGAAGTGGACTAATTTGCTATTCACATTTTTTTTCTTATCTTAGTCTTTTATTTTGTATTTTGATCTTCCAAGTTGTTATATGTTGCTATCAACAAGTCTGACTTCAATTTCAGGGGATGCAAACAACATACAAATTGGATCTGGGACCAATATACAAGACAATTCTCTTGTGCATGTGGCTAAATCTAATCTAAGTGGGAAAGTCTTTCCAACAATCATTGGCAATAACGTCACAGTAGGTAAATGCCTCAAGAAATATGTCTTTCTTTAATCATTGCAGTCTTGTATTGGCACAATTCTTTTGACCAGTCAGGATCTGATTACACCAGAACTGAAGACAGTAAATACCATTTGGCATAACTTGCTCTGTATGTCCTGGCCGAGCCGGAGCACTTCAAAACAGTTGACCCAGAAAAAAAAAATACACAAAAGTTAACATTTCCAACTCTGTTTGGCAGGTCATAGTGCTGTGTTACAAGGATGCACGGTTGAGGATGAGGCTTTTGTTGGCATGGGGGCAACCCTATTAGATGGTGTTGTTGTTGAAAAGCACGGGATGGTAGCTGCTGGAGCCCTCGTACGGCAGAATACTAGGATCCCTTGTGGAGAGGTTGAGCACACTTCCTCAACTGTCCTTTACTTTTGGTTCTTACTTGCGCTGTCTCAAGCACCTTTACTTTTTCTTTTCTTTTTTATTTCACTCGACTGGTTCCACCAAGGCAGGGTTTTCTTGCGATGATGAAACCCAAATAACACGTAGACTGCATTGAGCACTTAATTATTGTTCTTTGGTGTCTAGTACATTTCCATGTGGCATACATATTTACAGTGTCCATGGGTAGAAGTGGAACGAGAATATGCTGCAGAGGCCTTGTTTGGTATCTTATTTCTGCATGCTTTCATGACTATGCTCTGTTGGATTTAGGTATGGGGAGGGAACCCCGCCAAATTTCTGAGGAAGCTCACAGATGACGAGATCGCTTTTATTGCGGAATCAGCTGCCAACTATTCCAGTCTGTCCAAGGCACATGCTGATGAGAATGCCAAGCCTCTTGAAAAGATTGAGTTTGAGAAGGTGTTGCGCAAGAAGTTTGCTCACCAGGATGAGTACGATTCCTCGATTGGCGTCACTCGAGAGGCCCCACCGGAGCTGACATCCCCAAATCCAGCCCAATAAACCTCTGTTTTTGTTTCGGTTTTCTCTTTGGCGCCGTAATCATTTTCTATTGGACAGTGCTGGATCATTGATTGGGGCATTGTTCCATGACTTTGGTGGTTTATGTTTACTTTTCCTCCCCAATAATCTTGGGTCGAGCGATGTTATAAAGCTGGCCATGCACTTCTTCCAGATTCTGTATTCGGTATGTTTAAGATGTGCTGAAATGCATTGTTTTGACAGGTAACATGTACTGAATTACATATTTCATTACCTCTGAACTGAAGGTTGGTTTGAGCACCATTCATTGGTCACGTCTGTATGCTTTCCGGCATGTATGAATCATCTTTATAAAATTTCTGAAGCACAGATTCCTTTATGAAATGATTGATACTGGATTGACACTGAATGGAGAATAGATGAATCATCTTCCCTAGTGTATCCCTGCTCTTGTGGACATCCTTAAACAGTATGGAGAATAGATGTTTCGAATGATTTTGAAGAAACATCACATTTCCCAATCAGCTTATCATTGTTGGATTGAAAGTTTGAAACCCAGTTAGTGCGTGTTTGAATATACCTATTCTGCATGTGGATCGGAGTGGACTCAGGCTGTGAGCATCTCCAACAGCTCCCCCAATGCAAGTATGCAACTCTCCCAACAGCTCCCTCAATACAACTCGATCCTCCCATGATCAGGATTCAGTGACTTTGCTTCATAAAGTCACGTTGTAACTTTCCATCCGTCTCACCCCTCCATTCAAGATCCAACGACTCAAACAATTAGGGCTGTGTGCTCCTCCTTTTCACCCCCTCCATTCATCAGTTATATGTTTAGTTGATTTGCTAATTAGTGCTCTCCAAAAACAATACACAGGTACCTCATCGTGATTGATGATATATAGGATGAAAAATTATGGGAAATTCTCAAGTGTGCCGTTCCTGAGAACAACTCCAGTAGTCGTATAATCACAACAAGCCGCAAGTTAAGTGTGTCTGAAGCATCCTGCTCTTCCATTGATGATCAAATTTACAGGATGAAACCTCTGTCTGAAGATAAATCTCAGAAGCTGTTCTATGAAAGGATATTTTTTTTTCTCTAATACGCAAAAGATTTGCGTATCATTGTAATTAAGAAGAAGAAGTTTAACCATACACACGACACGCTTTTAATGAGCGCCCTAGGAGGTCTTACAGTTGTGACTGGACCTTTCTAGCAGACTATTCCGAACTTTGATATTACATAAAAGTAAACAACCAAACTAAGAGCAGCGCAGTAACCAACGGAGCTGGGCGTCTCCGCTACTGGCCGCGCGATCCTGCTCCGTCATCCGAGAAGAGTCTTCTACCAGTCCTAGCATTGGTCGCCGGGAACAGCGCGTCTAGTGCTTCGATTTCGCTAGACGTGAAGTTCCTTGCGAAAAAGTCGTCGTATGCTCGCTTGGACGCGGATGAGATTGGAGCAGCCGGCGGTGCAAAGCCCATCCTCTGCATGAGGAGCACCTCGCCCCGCTTGGAGGCCGGAATATGCGCCAGCGGCTGAGCGGCAATCCGTCTGCTCCGTTTTGGCAGGGGTTGCCTTGTGGTTGCCACCTTCTGCCTTGGTGGGCTGGCAATTAATGGCGACATTCGCTTGAGCTGCACCTCCTCAGTGAACCGAGCGAGACGCCGGGCAGCTTCGCGTGGTGTGGGCGTTGCGTCGCTAGGGGTGGCTGCGACGCCGGGTGCCCCCCCTCGTGGTGGCGTGAGCTGTGGCGGCCCCTGCACTGACGACATCAGAGACAAGTCTGTCGTCCACTGAGCAGCCGTCGCCGGGGAACAGGTGTCCGCCACTGGTGCTTCAACCTCCAGAGGGGCTGTCGTAGCAGGCAGACAATCAGGTGTTGCTGCCCTCATTTGCCGGCTCACGACGAGCGAGGCGACAAGTTCCTCCAACATCGGGTCGAACGAGTCGACCCATGCGGGAGGTCCCGCGCTCGCACACAACGCCAATGCCAGCGGATCTGGCTCAAGGAAGCAAAGTGTAGTAGCAGAAGAAGTGGCGTTGTCGGCAAGCGCGCCCCTGCTGATGTCCCTCGCCGGCTTACTCCGGCGGCGTCGGCGTCGGTGGCGTCGGCGTCGGCAGTTGCTGTTGGCGCCCTCCATGGTCCCATGCGCGGCCCCATCCAAGCTCGGTGAACCACCGTGTGGTGCCTGGGAGGCCAGAGCGTCCTATGCCGCTTGCAGTCCCTGGCGAGGTGGCGGTAGCCATGGCAGCGCAGGCAATGTTGTGGCAACTGGCAAGTTGCTACGTGGTGCGAGTAGGAGAGACAGTTAAAGCATTTGTCGCGAAGCTCTGCGGGGATCCTCCGTGCCTGCGGGAGCTGCTTTTGGCGATGCTCAACCGAGGTAGTCACAGGTTGCGTCTCCTGTCGTGGGAGGATCTCCCGCCACCCATCGGCGTTGGGGGCGGAGATCCTTCCGCGGCGACCAAGGCGTTGGCGGGCAGGGGTACGACCATCCAATGGCCGAGTAGGCAGGTCGTGCACCAGCTGGGGGCGCGGCCGTCTACGTCTCCTCCGTCTTCGCCCAGGCCCTTGTCGTCCAGCGTCCACCACGCCACGGCCTCGAGTCATGATCGGGTGAGTCAGGGCGCGCGGCGGGGACGCATGTACCGGCTTTGCTGGGCGACGAACGGCATCGAGGTAGGTTGTAGGGTTGTCGCCGTCAGACTCGTCGCCGTCGTCGTCTGCCCAACTGAGGCCGTCGCCGTCGCAGAGCCACGTCGAGGACGGGGGCTGGGAGGCGGCCGACGTCCGCTCTGTATCCGAGACATCGAGGAGGCCATCCTCATCCTCAGCCCAGCGACGAGCCTTGGAGCGTCCCCTCGAGCGCTCCCATGGGTGGAAGGGTTGGGCGAAGGGAGAGAGCAAGGACGGCGAGGTTGCGGCAGGGCATCCCGAGGCAGCATGTGGCGACGGGCTGAGCTCGCCGCGAACTGTGCTCTCCGTGACGGCCGAAGACGAAGAGGCAGGGGAGGCTCCCCCGTCATCTGGCCGTGCAGCCCCAGATCCGGTCCCGTCAGCCCCCGACGGCTGGTCCGGAGGCGCCGGCTTCGCAGCTGGTGGAGGCGCGGACCGCGCCGTTGGCCGGGCAGCCGCCCCATGGCCATCAACGCCAGCTTCTTCGCCCTGCAGCGCGTGCGATGGTGCCGTGTCGGCGGCCGGTGGTTGAGGCAGGTGGGTGGGCGGCGCACCTGGCACAGCTGCTATCGCGCGGGAGGCGCCATCCTCCATGGATGGCAGCGGCGCCGTCGGTGGCGCGCCGTCACCGGCTGACGTGAAATCGCCCTCACCGGGGCAGCCGGCGCCGGATCAGGCCAACACCATGGTGGCCGGCGACGTCTGGATCGGCGGCTGCTAAGAGGGAGCTCCATCTCCGGCGGCCACGGCGCTCGGCCTGGAAACGAGCAGCGGCGGCGGCCCCCTGGTGGAGGCGCATCCCGTGGAGAAGAAGGCTGCGGGAGGGGCTGGATTTGCGGGCTTGGAGGTTGTAGGGAGGGCAGGGGAGTGGGGAGGGGGAGGGGAGGGGGAGGGCGGGGCCGCCGGCGCCGGTATGGCGGCCGCAGGTGGCGGCGGCGGGTTGGGGGCGGCTACCAGGGGGCGCCGCTAGGGTTGGGGGCAGTTCCGTCAATTCCAAGCTCCCATAAAAGGATATTTCATCAGGGCGTAGGATGTCCACCCGATTTGGAACAAGTATCCAAGGATATCCTCAAGAAATGTGGCGGGGTACCATTTGCAATTATTTCCATAGCTAGTCTTTTGGCTAGTCATCACAATCATATAAGAGCAAAAGATCAATGGTATATTGTGCTCAATTCTATTGGTCATGGACTTACAGACGGTGGCAACGTGGAGGACATGCAAAGAATACTTTCATTTAGCTATTACGATCTTCCTTCTCATTTGAAGGCTTGTTTAGTGTATCTAAGTATATTTCTAGAAGATTATGAGATTAGAAGAGGTCGATTGATATGGAGGTGGATAGCCGAGGGTTTAATCCAACACAAGAAGGATGAGGATAATTTATTTGAGCTTGGGATAGTTCTCAATACCGGCAAAAACCGGTCAATATCGGTCCTACCGGTCCCCTCCGGTATTGGATGGTTTCGGACGGTTTTGACCGGTATTGGATAATATTTGTAAATTTTGATTAAACTTTGGCCGGTATTTGTGAAATGTCAGCCAAAAATCGGCCTACCGGTCTTACCGGCCCTCTCCGATATTTTTGCTTACACCGAAATCCAAAACATGCCTTGGGAACACTTACTTTCAGGATCTAATAAACCGAAGCATGATACAGCCAGTAGGTATCAATGATGAAGGCAAGGCACTAGCTTGCCGTGTGCATGACATGGTGCTAGATCTCATTCGTTCCATATCAAGACAAGAGAACTTCCTTACAATATGGGATGGTACCGGTCAAAGCAAATCCTTGTTAGGTTTCAAGGTTCGCAGGCTATCCCTCAAGCACCACCCACTACGTCAGAATAACACTTCACTGTCGGTTCAAAACACCCCATCACTGTCGGATTTTGAACCGGCACAACCATACCGGCAGTGATGAGGGTCAGCTATCACTGTCGGTTCCTACAAACCGGCAATTTTCTTCAACTTCGCTGCCGGTTCTTTACACAACCGGCAGAATTCAGGTCCACCAATACTGCTGGTTCATTAGACCGCCCGGCAGAGTTCTGTTCCACTAACACTGTCGGTTTGTATTTTAACCGGCAGTGTTGTCATAACAAGCACTGCCGGTTTGTAACAAGAATCGGCAGTGATGGATAAGCTAACGCTTCTGATTTGTGGCTCAAGCCGGTAGTGTCATCTTGGCCATCACTGCCGGTTTGTTGCTAACCGGTAGTGAAGGTTACGACAACACTGTCGGTTTGTTTCTAACCGGCAGTGATGATTACGACAACACTACCGGTTTGTTGCTAACCGGCAGTGATGGCCCGTTCGCATTTTATTGTTTTATAATTT